TATTTGATTATTTAAAAAAATAGTCTAGTTTCTTATTTTTAGTACTGACAGAGTAGGGAGGAGGCAAAGAAGTGGGCTGGGGTGGAGGGTTTAGGCATGGTTAGGGGGATAGAAATCATTTTTTTTACTAACAAATCATCATAAATTAATTCATATATAAGTAACTAGTGTCATTTTAGACGATTCAAATGAAAATGAAGTTAGTGGTAGTTTCTATGGATCTATGCTTGAGTATCACTTGTGCACTTTTTCCCTAGGCCGTTTAAGCTGGTAATAAAGATAGTGAGAAACTCGAACAATATTGAATGTCCTAACTAAAGGGCTTTCCAACAAGTTGGGCCGCCCAAACACCCTTAATGCAGTAATGAATGGCTAAGTTTTGGGCGCAAATAGGCATACTTCTCGCTTCTATACTAAGGTCATCTTTACTTCAATTTATTTTTATTAGTTATTATTTTTCTTATGTAAATTAGATTAGACCAGAAATAGTTTTATATATAACGAGATTCAGATCAGAACGTATTTCAATCTGATCAGAATTATTGAGATCAGCCAAAGAAAACATGGCCTGAGTTTCACACTCAGGCCCTTATGTGGACAATCACAAGTACCTAACAAAGTTTCACCGTTTTATAGTACTGGGCCTATCCTTAATGGGCTTGGTCTGTAACCGGTTAAGACCTTCTTCTAAGCCTTCTTTTTGCACCTATATTCAGATCTCCCATGTATTCTTCGGTGGGCCTGATAACTCATTTCTTGAGTATTCATTAAGTGGAAATATAAATTTTCTTTCAAACAAGTATCATATTATAAAATTATATTGGTATCATTATTGAGGAATGGAAATATACCATATAAAAGTTTTTCATTATTTTAAATCATGATTATGAAATGAATTACAAATTTTGAAAAACTTATTTATAAACTATATTATTATTATTATTATTTGTTTTTTCATATATTATGCACACAAACTTTTCATATATTATACGCACCATATATACAAGTTTCATAGTGTTCATATAAAATAATATGCATATATAATAGTGTCTAAATATAATATAATAATTTCCATAAATAATAAACAGGTCAAACGCACAAAAAATTTCTATATATAATAAACATACAAAAAATCTCCATATAATAAAATTATTATTATTATTATACCACCTTATATTTTAATCAATAATAACATTAATGAAATATTATTTTAAATTAATGTCCAACCTTATATTTTCGTCCCAATAACTCTTTTTTATATTTTATATGAATTTCAAACTGAAACTCATATCAATTCTAATCTTATTATTATTACTATTATTCGTGTTTCCATATATTATACACCCACAAAATTTCTATATATTACATGCACCATATATAAAGAATGCACACAAAATAATGAACGCACTCAATATTTCTATATATAATGCAAAGTCAAAGGATTGGAAAAGTTGGTCGATATTTCGTAAAGGATACTCCCTCCAGCCACAAATAAACTTTACGTTCACTATTCATAGGGTCAAACTTTATTCACTTTGTTGGCCTATTTTCGTCACTCATTTGATAAAATAATATAGTCATGTCATCTCTAGTTTTGTAGATCTTTTGATATAGTTTTTTAATATGTAATTTTTATTTTTCAATTCTACACCATTTTTCATATAAAATGATTTGAAAATAACTTTAGTCAAACATCGTAACGCGCAATGTAAAGTTTATTTGTGGACGGAGTGAGTATTTGTTTTTGTGTGCGTGTGTGTGTATGTATATGTGTATATATGTATCAAATTTTGGATAGTAATTTAGAAGGATTAAATTATTTGTACACCAAAATTTGTACCTCATTTTTATGTTAGTGTAGTAAATTACATTGACAAAAAATGTCAGTGTAAATCTTTTAATTGAACTAACATTTTTTACCAGCATGAATGGTTAAAATGCCCCATCCAAAATGATGCTCTTAATTATGCGCCCTCTCTACCGTCTTCAATGGCTACGACGTGTTTGTCCCTTTGGCACTAACAACCTTAGCTTAATAATCATCAGCATCTGATGTGATTCTCCAATCCACTTACTAAAGGAGAACGCATATTGAAGATCGATGATCATCGCGAATAGGATGCATTTTTTAACGTTAATTAATTTGCATGAAATGGGACAAGCTACGGCACAGGCAAATTCTTCTTGTGCCCAAACTTATTTTTTTGCACTTTAAGGCCTGTTCTTTAGGATTGAAAACAAAAAATTAGATCTTGGAAGTTAACGGAAAGAACAGAAATAAACTAAAAGAAATTGGAAGAACTCGGAGAAACTAGTAGGAACTGGAAAGAACTGGAAGAAATTAAATAGAACGGGAAAAAATTGAAAAATTGGAAGATTTTAAAAAAACTTTTAAAAATTGTCATTATTATTGATGTATTGTTATAATTTTATTATTATTATTATTACTATTATTATTGTTGTTGTTGTTGTTGTTGTTATATTCATAATCACATTATCTTAATCAATATCTTAAAGATAAAATAATTATTTTCATTTTTCATACACAAAAAATCTATTTGTAATTATACTATATATATATTACTCCGTACAAGATTTTGATTTAAATATTAGACCTGTCACATAATGTGATCAAATCTATTTTTTTCATGATTGACATTGCATTTGCATTACAAGTCCTATTTTGAGAAAAAAACATAGAACTCCAAATTTTTAATAGAGTTTAAAAAATGATATTTTCTTATTTTATACCATGTAGATTAATAAACAAAAAAAATTATATTACTCATATCAAAAGGTTGAATAAAAAAATAATAAAGAGTCTTAATTGTAAAAAGTTGTAACATGGAAATAATAAAAAATGAAATAATTTATAAGTTATAGATATGAATATAATAGTTGTAGTAGTAATAATAATAATAATAATAATAATAATGAAGATAATACTAATACTACTAATACTACTACTACTAATATCATGATGATCGATGATAACCGCATTAAAAATAGTGATGAACCTTCCCTTTTTAATGAAATGAAAAGAGAAGGTTCAATTGCATTAAAAAGAGAAGGGTTATCAATTTTACAATCACCCATAGTCAACTGTTGACATATAATACAATTAAAATTGATCTAAATGAGGTTCACCACTTGTATTTATAATGAGAAATGGAAAACGGCCCCACTAAAATTAACAAAAGAACCAACCATAACAGCAATGGTAGTACTAGTAACGCCCCACGGCGTCACTGCCATTTTAACGTCTAAGGGGCGTTAAACACTGCCCCCCTGAGGCTTCACTGTAGCGTCATTGCTTCGGCGTCATACGTTTGACGCAGCCTCCCCCCTATAACGGCTAAATTAGCCGTTGGAAGCGAAACAAAGTAAATTAATTTTTTTTATAAATTTCAAACTCCATCTCCTCCAATTCTCACACCTTTCAATCTCCAATTCTCATCAATCTTCTTCACATCTTCTTCAATTCTCCAATTCTCCAACTCTGTTTTCAACATGAATCCTTCCGGCTCCGGCTTCTTCCCGGACAATCTCAAGCCTAACGAGCACGTCATGTGGATCTTCCAACAATTCGGGAGTAATCCGTCGATGTTCGAGACACAACCATCAGGGTACATCTATGAGCGGGAGTCAGTTCCGGAGACTCAACCGGAACCATCCGGCACAAAAAAAAAGTGCACGCCGGAAGAGCCACAAAGCGAAAGACACTCAAGCGATGGCCGAGGCGGAACGGTCAATCCAAAAGTGGTCGCCGGAGGAAGAATGCTTGTTGGCGCCAACTTGGGTTGACGTCTCCGAGCATCCCATTGTTGGTAAAAATTATATGTTTTTTAATATATTTATGTTTTTATTTATATAATTATCTTATATATTTGTGTTAAAAAAATTCGTGTTATACTTTTTTAAAGGTTCCGAGCAAACGAAGGATGCGATGTGGGATCGTATCGAGGAAAAGTTCTTTACAACAATGAACAAGGACGGCTCCTACCGTACCCATGGCCAACTCACTTCCAAATGGAGCCACATCAACCGTAAAGTCCGAAAGTTTATCGGAGTTTACGAGGATGCGCCCGGTCTCAGAGGAGCGGGACGAACGACGCCGATGTTCTCCGGCTTGCCACAGCCCGATATCAAGATGACGGGCACCAAGGCAAGGTGCCCATCGATCTTTGGAGGATTTTGAGTCGTTCACCGAAGTGGCAACAACTCAACAATTCTAACGGCGGAGCGTCAAAAAAACGATCCTCCGTCGACACCGAGGTTGAGGTCGATGACACTATCGGTTCGTTCGAACAAAGGCCTCCCTTCGACGTTGCGGATTCCGATGATGAGGACCCCATTCCACGTTCGATCGGAAGAAAGAAGGCAAAATCCATTGTCTCGGGTTCTGGAGGGTCCGACTCTGTTTCCGTTTCTTCTCACGACGATATCGGTCGGGCAATGGTTGAACAACTTTGGATGTTCAATATTCGAGAAGAAAAAAGGGCGAGAAGGAAGAAAGAGAAGGAAGAGATCGAAATAATGGAACTGACCTTTCTACGTTATCGTCCTTCAAACGTATGATCTTCGAGAGAAGATAAAAAGAGATCAAGGCCAAACATAATTTACCTTAGTTTTTTTATTAATGTATTTTTTTATTATTGTCACTTTCTTTTTTTAATTTAATGAATGTAATTTTTTAAAATTATTGTCACTTCAATTTCTTTTAATTTAATGAATGTAATTTTTTTAATTATTCTTGTTTCAATATAATAAAATAATTAAATTTTATTAATTTAGTTTTAGAAGATGTATATTTAAAAATGTAAAAAATGAATGTTTGAAGCCCATGTTTGAAGCCATGGTGCTTCAAACTCATTTCCACTGAATCTGTGATGAGGCAAGTTAAAGTTGACGTGGCAGAGAGAGAAATTTTGAAGCCCCGAGGTTTTACTGGTACTTCCAGTGCTCTATGCTAACGATTTAACGTGACTTGAAAGACTATTCGTAGATTTTTGAAACTGAAAGACAAATTGTGCATGAACTAATAACTTGAAATGAAATTTAGCCAATTTCACAAATAAAGTATTGGTAGAAATTTATTTAAAAAATATGCTTAATCAAATCGGAGGCATCTTTTTTTGGGGGGAGGCAATAACTAAGTACATGCCTATAAGCAGAGTAGTGGGTAGTCTGATATTTAATTATACTTGTATCCATCTTAATTAAAAAGAAATACTGGTAATAAGAGAGGAATTGTTGTGTGATTCTACAAATGGCGAGACTATCTTCACCAAATTTCTTATTCCTTGTCGTCATCCTCTTGGTTTCTTGTAAGTCTTCATTTATCATGCCACACATTTTAGGATTTTACCACTAATTATTTTTAATGAAATGGTTGTGGTAGTGGTGACACATTTTAGGATTTTACCACTAGTTAAAAAATCACTTTTTACGTACAAAGCTCGAGTGGAGCAAAAATTAAATCCCACTTAAAGTGAGAGTTGTGTTAGAGTACGTATGAAATTTATATATATATGAACTGTACGTACAAGAGCATACTTAATACTCTCTCCGTTTTAAAATTAGTTTCCAAGTTGTATTTCATGGTTAAACTTTTTTAACTTTGACCGCTTATTACGTATGGGAAAATATATTAACCCTATGTTTGGTTCGTGGAATTTGAAGGAAAAAGTTTTCTCCTTATTTCCTCACCAAAATAGAAGAAAAACTATTTTCCTTTTCTTTAGCTCATTTCTTCTTCCACTTTTTCTTTCATTTCCCCGGTAACCAAACAATAAAATTTGTTTTCTCTCTCATTTAATTTTCTTTTCCCCTTCAAATTTCTTAAACCAAACATAGTGTAAAATTTCATACAAATTTAATATAAAAAAATTCATTTTGAAACATGGTTTTGAAATATTTTATTTTTATAATATATATTTATATATAAATAAAGATATTAATGGGCAAAATATTGCATTAGAGAGTGTGAAAAAATAATCAAGGAGTTAATTTTAGAACGAAGGGAGTATACAATTATATATATGTGGATGGGTACGTGATGGATGCAGGTAATGAGACAAGGGTATTAGTTCCGAGCGAGGCGAAACATTTATGTGACAAAACGGAGAACGGTGGATGCTCGATTAGCAGGCCTGGCACAGAATGCGAAGCCGATTGCAAGAGGAAAGGCTTCGACACTTATCAGTGCACATTTCCCATTCAATTCATTAGTCCCGGGTGGACGTGCTGGTGCCATAGATGGTGTGATGATCAAAACGACCATCACCGCAACAAAGACTACAACACCGTGATGAACCAGCCTGCACATCTCCATATATCACAAGTAGGCGGAGGGGGAGGAGCTTGTGGCGACCTCTAAATGATCAGATTGAATGCGTAGTATGTATGTTATACGTACGTACGTGCATGTGCATGCATGTTGTCCTATATATCCTCGTCCTCGTCGTCAGATATTGAATGAGAATAATAATAATAATAACAATAATAATAATAATAATAATAATAAAATTAGTCGATGTATGTATATATATATATATGGAACAATAAAAGGAAATGATGGGCTACATGTGTGTATATATATATCTCTATTTTCAATATGTAACGTAGAGACGTACACATGCATGGGGTGCATGAATTAACTAGATTGAGTTATATGTCGTGTTGGTTGTGTGTTAGTTTGGCATTGTCCATAACCTTCGAGCATATCATCACTACCTTCATAAAAAAATCACTGCTTATATGTTTGACTTTCACGAAATCTAAAACAAAAAATGTTTTGAAATGAAAGAGAATGTAGTACTTTGAAATTTCTTAATGAGAGAGCTAGACATCGATATTTTGTGAGTCATGTTTTTTTCTTTAAAAGTGAATTTTTCTTTATCTCAAGAAAAAAGAAAAAAAATAACAAATATTTTTAGTGATGAATATATATATATATATATATATATATATATATATATATATATATATATATATATATATAGGTTATGTAACATATCAACTTTAATTTTTCTTTAAACGTTCATTTTAAACTTCTTAAATCAATTGTATTGGGTTTTAATCTTTAACTAGTTTTAACCCCGAGTTTCGAATGAACTTGTTTATGTACCCTTATGTAAAATATATCTTTAAATTTGGATTAAAAAATATGAAATGAAAAAAATGGAAAATGTATTAAAATTGATATGTTACGTAACATATACTCCGTATATATATACTAGTATTCTGACCCGTGCCATGCACGGGGTCAAACGCAATTTGTGTCGATTCTGAATTATTTCAATTAAATATATTTTTCAGTATAAAGAAAATTTATTGCGCAAATTAAATTATTTTTAATACTACAGATGAAAAAAAGCCAAAGTAAAATAAATAATATTTGCGGAACAGAATGTGGAGATAACAATGTTTATTTTAATACCAAATTATCTGAAAGACTTCAGGGTATACAATATTTTTGGTATGGTTAATAACCAAATTTTCTCAAAGTGTTATTTCCTTTACATCATAATACAAAGTGAAAAATTTGTTTATGTTAGTATGTAAATAATGCTCTATAAGTATTGTTAAAGGAGTCACTTAATAAATTCTTTGAGATACCTAAAATGAGTCACCCTGTTTGCTATCTCGTTTTGTGTATCATAAATATACAGGAGGAATTTACTTAAATAGCACTAGAACATAATGACTTTCCCTAAATAGCATCACATGTGTTTTTCTTCTCAATGTAGCACTTTTAGTCATTATGCATTAGTCATTATTCAAACAAATATTCGCCATCATTGGACATTATGGACATTATTATGCGCTATTTAGGGAATAAAACAATTTAAGTGGAGAAATGACTTAAGTTTTAGTGCTATTTAGTGCAAATATTTCAATATACAATTGAGTAAATCTCAGTCTTCCACCCTTTTGTGGCAACCAAGATGGTATGTGATGACGATTGTGCCTTTTAGAGTAAACTGCAGAGCTGTTCGACCGTTGTTTTGAGATGCATCAATTTTTTCATCCATATATGTGAAAGAAAACATGCTATTGTATTTTCTTATATTTTTCATAAAATGAGAACTTCTCGAATCAATGTCATGAAATAAATTATACAGCAAGTCTAGGGTATTTTTTTAGAAGTGGTAGTTGAACTTTTCTTTTCATGTAACAAATCGAGAACTCTGGATGGTTTGAATCTCTATATTTTTCAGCTCTTTCTTCATACCACAACAAAGCTCCCCAAAATTCACATGCGAATGAGGGATCCCCAAAATCAATTATTTCTACAGGAAAAATAAAATATGATATAACAAATATGATATAAAACATACCTTTAATTTCAACTCCTCCAAATATAGGATTATCTAAACATGAATCTCTTGTGCTCTCTAGAATAGAGGAATTTTCTACCTCCACATCTAAAATTGAGATATATTGAGTGTATCCAGAATATGAATTATGTACTATTTGCCTAGATGGTTTGTAATATAAATGGGTTAAACACATTTACCATCATAACTAATATTACCTCCATAAAAATTTATCGCATGTGTTACAAAAGATAGATCTATTCTTCTTTGTCTCTTTTGCACTGCTGAGATGAGTGTACAATTATTTCCTGATTAAAGTATTGTACAGATAAAATTTTAAAGTTGTTAAAATTATGTTTTGTGACGTTTTACTTCATAAGTAACCCTTCCACAAATTAAAAAAAGAATTAATTAAATTTTTTATTTGAAATTTATAAATACTATTTGTCACATCACTAAGTACATTCCTTCTTGTGTGAGGCGTAGCATCTGACGACGATGTCTCTCCATATGTACTTATAATACCCATCATAAAGAAATTGTAAATACGAAGCATAAATGTTTTTCCTCTATTCACATAAATCATCACCACATAACAAATATTATAAGGTATTCTGAACCAAGTCCAAATGATGTTAAATTTAGATTATTTTTAAGGTGTTGACTATAGATATGATCAATCTATTTTTTCCACTATTCACATAAAACATCACCACATAATAATACAAAGATTTTCCTTTTTTAAAGGTAAATATTGGGTGTTTGTTTTAATGAATATATTTAAATTTAATCTCATCATCGTGAATTAATTTTTTTAATGAAGATATATTTCCACCAAATGTCTTTTCTGCGAAATGCAATGTGAAAACAATAACTATGAGAAACATCTGCACTAAATAGCACTAAAACATAAGTATGGAAATTCCATTCCCAAATAACATGTCCAGATTCAACATGGCAATTCCTTCAAAATGCAACTTCTGTAAACAAGGCACTCAGGACTCTAACCACAGTTTCTGAAGAATTGTATTTTCATTGATTAATTATGTGAGGAGTACATGTATATATATACAACATCTCAATCCTAGTTATGGTAGGAGAGGTATTCTAGGGAAGCTATACAAGTATGGAAACAAATCATAATACAATAATATTTAATATATTAAATATATTTAACATGCTCCCGGCTACGTCGGATGTGCTGGGGGTCGGATACCCAGGCTTTCTCTGAAGTCCAGAAATAAGAGAGAGGGCAGTCCTTTTGTGAAGATATCGGCGAACTGAGAGGATGAAGGAACATGAAGGACTTTGATCTGGCCAAGCGCCACTTTATCGCGTACAAAGTGTATGTCAACCTCGACGTGCTTGGTGCACTGATGTTGCACCGGATTTGATGATAGATAGACAGCACTAACATTGTCACAAAAGACGAGTGTGGCACGACGGAGTGCTTGTTGCAGCTCAAGAAGAAGATTCCGGATCCAGCAGGTCTCTGCAATAACATTGGCAACGGCTCGATATTCTGCCTCGGCGCTAGAATGAGAGGTTGTGGCCTGACGTTTGGAAGACCAGGAGACGAGGTTGTCGCCTAGAAAGACACAGTAACCGGATGTGGAGCGTCTGGTGTCGGGGCAGCTAGCCCAATCAGCATCGGAGTAAGCCTGTAAATAATCGGTGGCGGATCGTGTCAGATGGATCCCGTGGGTGGCAGTACCACTAAGATAGCGAAGAACTCGCTTCATGGCAGTAAGATGTGAATCGCGTGGTGCATGGAGGTGTAGACAGAGCTGCTGAACTGCATATGTGATATCAGGACGAGTGAAGGTGAGGTACTGCAGTGCACCGACAATGGACCTGTAAAAGTACAGGTCGGAGAGCGCCGAACCCGCAGTGCTAGATAGTTTTGCCTTCGTGTCTACTGGGGTAGAGATGGGGCGGCAAGAGACCATCCCTGCCCGCTCAAGGATATCATGAGTAAACTGAGTCTGGTGGAGGAAGAGTCCGGTGGCTGTGCGCTGGACATTGATCCCAAGGAAAAAATGTAGGTCGCCCATGTCTGTCATAGAGAATTCAGCCTTGAGCTGCTGAATGAGACTCTGAAGCAGTGCCGGGGAGGATGCTGTGAGTACAATGTCATCAACATATAGGAGCAGGTATGCCGTCCCAATAGGCTGAGAGAAGGTGAATAGGGAAGTGTCGGCCTTGCATCCTCGGAAGCCAATAGTCTGTATGAAACCTGCAAACCTGTGAAACCAAGAGCGTGGGGCCTGCTTAAGACCATAAAGAGCCTTCTTGAGTTTGCAAACATAATGAGAGCGAGTGGGATCCTGAAACCCAGAAGGCTGGCTGGCATAAACGGTCTCCTGTAGCTGACCATGGAGGAACGCATTTTTGACATCAAGTTGGTGAATGGGCCATCCACGAGATAGAGCAAGGCTGAGGACGATACGAACAGTGGCAGGCTTGACAACGGGGCTGAAGGTCTCGTCATAATCAATGCCAAAACGTTGGTTGAAACCGCGGACCACCCAACGGGCCTTGTACCTGGATAACTCACCTGAGGGGCCAAATTTGTGTCTAAAAAGCCATTTACCGGTGATAAGGTTTTGGGAGGGGGAGGGGGGTACTAATTCCCATGTGTCATTCTTTATCAAGGCATTAAATTCATCACACATAGCAGCATGCCAGTTTGGATCTTTTAGTGCACTACGGTAGGTTGGGGGTAAAGGAGAGATGGGGACAGAAGTGTTAAGGTTGAGAATTTGTTTGGGGCAGAAGACACTGGCTTTGGAGCGGGTTTGCATGGGG